TCTGCTGGCTGGTAAGTGTATTATTCATTTGAATAAATTTGATTTACTCTCTAGATCAGGGGCATCAAACTCACTTTTTGTGAACCTCTGAGGTGTCATAAACTACAGCTATTAAAGGTCCATTAGGAAAGATTAGTCAAAATTAGTAAATATTAGGTATTTAACAGTAAAGTAGGGGAGTTCAACAACATTTGAATGATTTTTTTAACTCCTTCAGTCCGCCTCAATGCCCTCCCATGTACACAAAACTCCGTCCCAGAATCTTAAAGCGATTGATTAAAATTAAGATTAGCAAGGACTGTCATGACAACACTTTCAAGGATGCATTCAACTGCTTGAAAGCCAAGTTATAACACTATAAACACATGAGATTCAGCTCATACTGATTTATGAGAATGGCCAAGAGTGCCACTGCTGTCCTGTTTTAATTTGTTAGCTAAATGAGCTTTTAAGCTTGTGTTAGCATAATTAGATTACGTATATTTCATTGCATCCAAAGCATTGTCTTACCTGGCTCTCTAAGTAATAAAACGTATCTACTTGATTCCGTATGGAAAGTGAGCCATTCAAACAATTCAAAGCTTTATACAGATTGTGTTTACAGGCCTGTCCAGGAGCAGTGTTGCTAATTCTGCATCCAACTTCAGCCCTTTCAGCAGTAATAAAATACTCCATCTTGCAAAAGCACCTCCAAAAAGCACTTATTGTCATTAAATTATTCAACAATTTTTTTTTATCTGGCTGTTCTGGGTGTACTGGTTTCAGCCATGTTTATTTATTTTTTTATTTCCAAACAGACTGAGATGAGAGTGAAGGGGCATTGAGAAGAATCTAATAAATGACTGACAGAAAGCCCATTAAAACACAAACGAGCATTCTGAACCATAACACAGTTTTCCAAATCGTTTTTTTCCACCACATAATACACTTGTGCTGAGGCCATGGCTTAAATAATAATATTTTTTAATCATGTTCTACACATTTTCTAGGTTATTTGTACAAGTAAGAAAACTTAAAAATGACTACTGCACTTTTATTATTATTATTATTATTATTATTATTATTATTATTATTATTATCTATTCTGTTAATTAACACCAACAAACTAAGTTCTAAAAGTAAACTAGTAGAAAAAGAAAAGGATTGCTTACAGGAACTATTTAACATTTCAACTGTATGCAATATGATTAACATTTATTATACAGATGAATGATTTTCAAATGTATATTAGG